ACGTCAAATGACGTGTGTTGACTAGTGAACCCTTAGCGGTATTTGGGCTTTTGACCTCCTAAGACCCTCCAGATGTTCCTTGACCCGTACTCGAAGGGGACGGGTGTTTCTCATATATATTCGCATCCACAGCTCTGGCAGTGTATCGAATAGATAACTGCGGACTTCATGCAGTCACCCGGTTTGCCAAAGGGGCAGATCACACAGTCAGGAGTGCCACATAAGGTGTCGTAGGATCGGTTGCGAACCAGCTGTTGTTTAAGATTACAGGGGGTATTTCCACAATCCTAACATCGTCCTGCAGATCACACCGAACCAATAACGATCGGACTGCCCTGCTTAGGTCTTCGGAAATGAACGGTAAGCAGAAAGGAACTTTGTTAGGTGTTGTTGTATTGAGAGTTCTCCGACTTGTGGAATACCCCCGCTGCGCTGCTCCAGAGCAAGGATATCCATTAGATAACGCAATACCCTGGGCCATATCCCTCGATTCTGTTTTCAGCTGTTGATCTGACGACACCATGTTAGCCACTCTGAACATATTTCTAATGACCGCCTGTTTTGTTTTTATCGGATGGGCCGAGGTATAATGGACCAGAATGTTCTTGTTGGTCGGCTTCCGGTACCATTTGGTCCTGACTGACCCCCGTGAAACCTGGACCTGTTAAGGAAGGGTAGCCAATCCGCCACAGGTTTTTCCCGTGTGAACTTGATGTTATCTGACTGCTCATTCAATAGAGCGAAACAGGCATCCATTTCGCTTTGTGTTGAACATATTACGAGGCAGTCATCAATGTATCGAGAATATAGGATTGGTCTACGGTCCAGGACAGGCTTTTCGATCTTCGACATAAAGGCTATGGCTAATACAGGAGCTAGCCGTTGCCCCATCGCCAAGCCTCTCAGCTGCTGGTCTTAGGAGGTCACAAGCCCACACACCGCTAGGGGCTTCACCGTAGTCAACACCATGGAGGCACGTCATTCGACGTAGCAGTGACCATCTTAGCGCAGGAAGTCGAGATCACGACACTGGAGGCTTTTTGGATCACGGCCAAGGACCCACAAATGAATCGCAAGGAAGAGTGTGTGGTCATAACGCGTGAGCTCGCAGCCTTTCTCGACCTCTGCAAGTTTTGACCTACCGAGAGGTCGAGGGAGGTTACCAGTAATTCTTACTCCACGCTTGAGCCTCTACAGGGTGGTCGTCCCTGCGTCACGCGTCCAAGATCAAGGTAAGCCAGCGTTCCGCCCTAGATCGATACCGTTGGGTGATTTACTGGTATGTGGAAATCGTCTTGAGTATTGTTGAAATGTTTGAGCGAGCAGGTCTCGAAATGTTTTTTGACCATTTCAGGCTCTGACGAAGGCGAAGACGCCGAAACGTAGGCCTTCAATAAAGTTGCTCAATCTTGGAAAGGCTAGAAGAAATACAAGAACTATATACATCATGCCAAGATTGCAAGAAAGTCGAACATGGACTATTCTAAAAATGTAGTGGTCAGTGTCTTGACTACGAAGCGAAAAGCCAAAGATACAGCAACAAATGCAGTATAAGATGGCTGGCTGGCTTAAGACCCGTCATCGGAAACGTTCAGGCGCTTGACGGGGTAGCACACATCTCTGCAACTCGACAACTGTCAGACCTTCGCAAAAGACGATTGCGTCGGAACTTCAGGCGCTCAGAATAAATTATTCCACCAAAAAACCTCGAAAGGGACAACATTA